AGTTTCACCTATAGTTTCCTGTAAAAGTCCTGGATAATATTTTTTTCCCTCACTTTGGTAACATAGTGTTCCATGTTTGTCTTGCAATTTACTTATCCATTTCTCTTTCTCCTTTTTCAATTTGTAAGAGCTAACCATCTCCCTGGTTGGTTTGCATTCTCAAAAAAGTTTTGTTTCATTCTTTTTATATGTTGCACTAGGCCTTTTACAAGGTTACTCAATTTATGTTTAGTTGGCTCCATTTGCTGTTTTAAATTTATTTTTTGTGGTTCCTTTTGTAACTCTGCTTCAAGTCTTTTATATTCTTCTTCTAGAGTTCTTTTTTGTTGCTTCTTCCTTTTATTTTTCTTCACTATGAATGTTATAGCAACTCCTCTCATGTATGCTTTCGCTGTGTCCCATAGGTTTTGTAATGAAGTGTCTTCTTTCCTGTTTTCCTAAAGAAAAATCCCATTTGTTTTTCCAACATCTGCCTACATTCTATATCTTTTAATATTGATCAGTTCAGAGTCCATCTTGTACTTTTCTTTTGTCCTTTCCAGCTGATTCTCATTGGATTATGATCTGCCCATAGATTTGTATCTATTTCTACCTCATATACATTAGTATTTAATTCTGTCGACATCCATATCATATCTATTCTAGACCAGGATTGGTGTCTATTAGAATAGAATGTGCATTGGTTCCCCCCCCCCCGGGTTCCTCTCTCTCCATACATCTTGTATGTTTAACTCTTCTGCCATTTTAAAGAAGGTTCTAGGTAGAATACTTCTTACTCCTTTCCTTATTCTGTTATTTTTATATTCCAATTTTTGTCTATTATTGTATTGAAGTCTCCTAGGAGACAAATACAGTATTATCATACTCCATATCATGTATAGTATTATGTAATTTTTTTATAAAATTGTTCTTGTCCACTATTTGGTGTGTAGATTGCAACTAAGAGTACCTGCTTTTGATTTACTTCCACAGTCAGGATCCTTCCTTCTTCATCATTATATATTTGGTTAGTCTGAATTGTTTCTTTAACATATAACACCACTCCTCTCTTCTTTTGTTGTGATAATGACACAAATAATTCCCCAATTTAGAATATTCCCCAATTTAGAATATTCCAGAAATCCCTCATTGATTTCTTCACAAATCTTATGTGCACCTCCTTTGGTAGTTTGTGTCTCCTTGTATAGTTCGTATGTATTCTATATGCTTCATCAATTTCTATCAGCATCTCTACTTCCTCTGTCCCTAATACTTTTGCAAGTCACTCTGCCATAACATCCAGTAAGTCTTCCCTTTTCTCCTCTTCCATATTCTGAAATCTCAAATAATGTGCTGCTTTTCTGTCTCTAGCAATATTACTGTGGTTTCTAACTCTTTATTTGCCTGAGTCAGGCTATCATTTATTTCATCTACTCTTTTTATTTCTTTCTCCATCCTCTCCTCTATTTCCTCTATTTTCTGTTTGTTTTTTGTAATCAATTGCTGGAAATTTTCAAAAGTTTCATCCATCTTTTGTATCTTTTCTTTTAATTCTCCCGTATAATTTCTCACTTCTCCTATTTCCCTCTTCAATCCATTGTGGTTTTTTGTCATGGTCTCCTGCATCAATTGGAGCATAGCCTGCAATTCCTTAAATTAATTTAATATCTCCATTTGTAACATATCTTCTATTGACCTCTGATTAGATGGACTTGAGGTGGCCGATGATGGCGTGGAGGTATGTTTCCTCCCTATCCCTATCTTTGTTAGGTTTATAGTGCTTATCATGATCAACAATTTTACCTAGATTTTTTTAGTATCCAACACCTCCAATCACCTTTTAACACATATATAACCCTCCAGCATCCCAAATCTTGCTTAACTGATAGGTATAGAAAAAGAAGAAAAACGTCATTCAGATCCAATCCCACTTCAATCCTCCCTTTAGACCATTTTTTTTGTAATCTATAATGTCTGATATGCAACTAGAAGATAATAATAATAATAATAATAATAATAATAATAATAATAATAATAAT